ATGTATCTAGCCCATATTGACATTCCAACCAGATGCCATATTCTAACATTTGCTGGTGACATTCTGGTTTACAACAGAGGCTCGAGAAAAGCTGAAATCGAAATCAATATGCAACCATGCTATAGTAGGGTCATCAAATGGTGCAATGAGACAGGAATGGCCATCAATCCTGCTAATGCCACTGCCATCATCTGCTCACTGAACAACAGATGTACTAATGAGGAAAAACATGACCATTCTTTATGGGCACTGTTATTGTTCTGGTAGAAGCACTGAAGTACCTAAGATAATCTTTGACAGACAACTCAACTTCACCAGCTAAATTAATGACATGGTAACTAGAGCTACCAAAGGCATCAATGTACTGAAAGTTGCAGCAGGAAATATACTGAAGAACATCACCTGCCTATGTGTTACCAAACTAGTATCTGCTCCATCCTGGGTTATGTACTAATGATGATCAGCATGAGTGATATACAACTAGATAAGATTTGAAAGATATAAACAAGTGTTTAACACTGGTCAGAGGATTTACTTCAGCCATCACTATCAAAACTGTCACAAAACTCGACAGCAGCACAGAACACCAACAGTGCTCACAACTAAAATTCTTCACTAGGGCCGTAAAATGTAAAAACTATCTAATCCAACATCGAACCACTACTCTTACCAGTTTGGTCATTCTAGCTCTACAACAACCTCAAAGGCACCAACTAAACAGAAGACTGCTTAAAACTGTGTCTCAAGAGACAGCCATGGACGGTTAGATGGTATACAGCCACCTTTGAGATTATTTGTTATCACCAAATATCAGATTTTCCAATGTGGAATAAAATTTGGTACCCCTGGGATCTGTGGAAATAGGCCTAGAGAGTAAACAGGTTTTGGGAAGGGGATGAAGCTAGAGGGCCTGTCAGTACCTATTTAAACACCACTATGTAGTCATTTCTCGTAGACTACCGATGGTTACAACACTAAAAATATTGAGAGAGCTGGTTGGGCATTCATTTTCTCGTAGAACAACAATCTGTATTAGACTGATGGAACATTCAAGTTTCCCATAGCACAAGGATGGAATTGGAAACCATAAATCAAGTATTCCTCTGAATTGGTAAAAACAACAAATAGCAAATATACAGAGTCGCCAACATAATATTTCCAACTGAATGATAGCCAATACTACATAAAATTAAAAATGATTGGTCCCAATATGGATGGCAGAAAGCAAAACGACTTCAGGTATGATCATCACCATGTAGGGATAAAGCTAAACAAGGAAACTGTCAAGCTTGCTGGAAAAATCCCTTTATCAAATCCAGCACTGACAGGATATTGAAGTTCTCCACACTAGTAAGATGAAAGCAGCAGCCATGAAAGGACTTCGTTGACACTGAAAGAACATGAGACTGCTGGAAAACAAAATATCATATGGTGTAAGTATGAAAATCAAAGATGAAAAGTCAGTAGGACTGTATACAACCAGAATGCTATGGGTAACATCAGTAAAGGAGCGCTCTTCTTCCTCCTATGGGGCAGCCAGTGCCCACGTGAATGGTTAGCATCTGTTGACATAACTTCTGAGATTATCAACTACTACCCAACTCAATTAAACATGTTTCTGCCTTTTGCTTTGACACTTCATTTTGTTTTTGCTGACCTTAGCAGCCAGATGAGAGAGAAAAAGAAAGCTGGCCAATTAAGGTGACACAACACTGTATTTTTAAAATAAAATGTTTTTATTTAAAATTATACTTGTTTGCTTTTTTCCTCTAGTGTCCATGTTCAATCTATTCTTCACTTAATAGTGCTGAACCTGCATTTTACATGAATGTTTGGCTTTTTCTTCTGAACTTTATTGTACCTAAATTCGAGAGTGATAAATTTTTCTTGATGTTCACTTTAATACATTTTATCTATTGTTTATTTGTGAAACTGGCTGTTGTAACTGTGTAAAGAAACTGTTACAAACTGACTTCATACTTGTAAACTTACCTTGATAATAAGGTTGAATGGAGGTCGACATGGGTTCTCTGAAACCTGGTTACACGTCCGTTTTTAAATTACCTGACCTGACCCGGTTTTCGATTTTACCACCCGGGTAATTTGAGAAAATTCCTTACTCACATACATTTGGTTGAATAACCCAGTGTTTGAACATGGAAATTCGGAAGATTCTATCATGTGTGAAAGATGAATCTTCACTCGATTCTTCAAACTTAATCGTGACGTCATAGACTTCCATTGCTAAATGAGGAAGACATAAACAATCAAATAACAAAGTTCAGGAGCGTTAATGTGTAAAAAACCACAAAGGGTAACTTTCTGGCAAAAACAGAAACAAAACACCTGGCCTTTCAGGAATGTTTTCAGTACTTAAACCCAATAAATAACCTTGTTGCTTCCAGCATGGAATGTTTTTTCTACACTTATTGTGCACAGATAGTTTCTTACCAAAAAGATCAAATAAGTAACCTTTATTTAAACACGAATAAACTAATACATAAAGTATTATAAACAGTGTACTCTAGAAACAAAAGTATTATAAGTATTAAAAGTATTATTATCGACTCACAATCTGCAGATTGCGGATTCAAATCCTTTCACCGAATATGCTCACCTTTTTAGCCATTGGGCGTTATAATGCCACGGCTAAACCCACTATTCGTCGGTAAAGAATAGCCCAACATTGACAGTGGATAGTGCTAACTCGCTGCCTTCCCTCTATTCTATCAGTTCAAAACTAAGAACGGTTAGCACAGATAGCCCTCAAGTAGTTTTGCATAAAATTCAACAACAACAACAAAAAAACAATCTAATAATATTGTATGTTTTTCTAGTTATTTTCAGATGCGAATTTTTCATAATGTCGCTGTTTTGTTTTTCAACATTTTTAACATTAGATTTGGCACAATACTCAGTGAAACATGGGATTTGGATATTACAGCTAGTATTTGCCTAAGTCTTATGGTTTTAATTTAGTAATTACCAAATATATTGAAATATGTATTAAACACGTGAATCAAATAACACAACATTGTATTTGTATTGAGGCTATTTTTAAATTTGACGTGTTATTAAATTCTTTTTTTAATAATTCTTAATATTGAAAAAGTATAATTCTATCAACCCTCTTCGTCATAGAATCTTTCAGTATCAGCAAGTTTTGAATAATATTTCAAGACTATGTATGGAATCACAAAAATTTTGAGCATATATAATGTACTTGAGTGAACACTTATATAATTCTGCACTTAACGTACGTCACCTAACCAGATTCAATATTCCACTATGGTCAAACTTATATTTCAAGCTATAGCTTCCAATTGTATTCATGATAGATAGATAGGTGTTTATGTATGTGTGTGTGTGTGTCAGTTAGTGAAGGAAGCCAAAAAAACAACCGTGGATATTATCTCAATATCTTCATAGCTAGTTACAGCCCCACTGACCTAAGATTATTATTTAGCAAATTCTTGGACTTTGGTGTTGACAGACTTAATGCCAATTAACCAATTTGCCTTTCAAATGAATTAATAAATAAATAAATGTTATTGCAACAGTTTCTTTTGTTGAGCAGATTATTTGGGGTTATTCGGTAAGAAGAAGAGTGCAAATCCAGTACACTTAATAATAATGAAAGTGTTTTATTTATTCGACTATAAGATCCACAGGTTAACTTAACTAATGTTCACTGATATGCCTAATTTTGTATTAGACACTAACACTAGAATTTTATTTCCATGCTGACTCTCTCCTTTCGTTTTTCTTGGTCGAAACACAGACTCAATATTTACAGCACTGAACTAACTAACTGACCATCAAACTAGCTAACTCAACAACTCACTCTCAAAAAAATTAATGTAACATATTTAATAGACTTTGTAATCAATAATGATATACTACAACCTAACTGGCGTTTTATATTACTCAAACTATTCTAAACAACAACACAAATGTCAAAATTTTAAAAAATAGTCTAAAAAATACTAATTTATAATAAAAATATTTAAAAGAGGGGTTTCAGGACATTAATATAAACATATATGCAGTTCAAATTCTTTTATTAGAGCTAACTTTTGACCCATTTTGGTTAAGACTTCTGAAGTGAGTCGAAAGTTAACGCCAATAAAACATTTGAACTGCACATACGCATCTGGTGAAAACCTGTGTTTAAAGGATTTTCATCCTATATTAATATTATTCGCATTACAATAGGATAACTATTCAAAATAATAATACTGATATTGGGTGGACACTGCATTTTGTATGTTGATCAAAAATCGTCTTTGAAATACTTTTGTTCTGCACACTATTAAGAATTATATGGCCTGTCTAAAAGATTGAAGATTCATACCATTTAATAATCTAAGCATTAATGGTATTTCAAATTTTCAGAATACTTTATTCAGGTTGTGGAAAGAGGCAGGTATCCTTTAGATTGTTCTTTACTGTCATGATATGGATTTTGCTCAAAGTTCAAAACTCATGGTTTTTGGTCAGGTGATTGATTAGAAGATTTTGATAACAGTTATTCAACGTTTAGTTATCACGGAAAATTAGAAAATGAGACAAAGCACTCCTGTAAATCTATCCATAAATGAAGGACTCTTTGCCAGAAAACCCCACCTTCAGTGCAGGTCTGTTTTATGCTTACAGTCAACGCCTTCTGATAATCAAATCACGCTTTATTGATGTTTGCACTATTTACAATATTAAACTATAATTCATTTGAAAATCCAGAGTTCTTAAAGTAAGCATAAACGTCGTTTGACTCATAATTTTGTTTACTTGAATTTCTAGCATTCCATTACTGTGTTAAAAATGGATAAATTCACACTTTATTTGTATGTAAAGTGAATTTTCGTTTTGTTTGTCTTTCAAATTATTTATATATTAAAAAGTTATGATGATCGATGAGAAAGTAATAATAATATTTTGAAAACACTGACAGATCACATCAAATATCCATTAGTACAACTTTTGTTATGATGTCTTTTCAGGCACCAGCGATCCTTACGTCAAATTCAAGCTTGGAGGACGGCAACTGTACAAGAGTAGAACAATTCCGAAAACACTTGATCCGTACTGGGATGAATTTTTTTGTCTGCCAGTGGAAGACGTGTTTGAGCCCCTTTACGTCCGTGTCTATGATTACGATTTTGGACTTCAAGATGACTACATGGGTTCAGCACAAGTAGATCTAACTTGTCTGGAATTGAACAAGTAAGTAGAACTTCTTGGTAATTAATATGTGAAATGCAATTCAGCTTTCAAGACTGTTAAGTTAAACAAACTGAATATTCAACTGTTCAGAATGAAATATCACAAGAGACGATAACGTCCACAATAAGTTATGCATAATGCAATAACAATGTGCAGAGTGAATCGATGAAACGACAGCCTACTTTATAACGTGTAATAATGTTGTAACGATTTGATTTCTATTGTTATGTATGTTATTTTCTATTATTTAGTACAAGAAGTATGCAAAAACCAGACCATACTATAACAAAAGTGTTTTGTCTACAAATTATACGTACAAACTTAAGCTTCGCAGAGTGATAGGCCAAACTTCACAAATAATGCTAAATAGCTTTTTACTTACTAATGTTCGTGTATTTACAATATTATTCGTATCTCTGTTTCTCGGTCGAAACACAAACTCAGTATTCACAAGTATGAAATAATTAATTGGGAACAGTGATACTGAGTGGAGATATGCATTATTATCTGTTGATCAAAGTTGTCTTTAAAATATTTTTTCTATGTACGCTATTAAGAATTATGTGACCTATAGAAAATTGCATATAAAATATAACAACGACTGTAGAAGCATGCCACGAAATATACTACAAGAAGCCAAACATTTAATTTGATAGATTGATGCATTGATGTAGTCTTCATTATTTTAAGATTTGTTTAGTAAATCCTTTATTTTTAGTCCAAGTTGTTGTCCTTTTTTGGAGTTTGTTCCATTATCTATTATAAGTTTAACCAGTATGCCGATATTTTTTAAGCTGAGAAAACATACTTAGCTGACACTGTAATACACGTTCTGTTAATATTAATTAAAAATACACAAGTTATAGCATTTCAGATATAAAATGTTTACACCACTGTATTATTAATAATTTGTTAACACGTGTATGTAAATTTCTGGAGATGTAGTTCTTCCAGGCGCTTTACCTGCACTTTGAATACATCTATTTTCATAGATTTCCATAATATACATACACGCATAAATCTTCATTTTACAATGTTTTTGAATATTAGGAAAGCATAGCCTTGTATCTGTTTTAATTTATTTATATGCAAACCTGTTTAATTAAGACAAGTTTGATTTGTATTTATATGAAATCTAAATTATTAGTAAATCTTATCTTATAGTTCAAGTGTATTTATATAAATCTAAAGCTATTTCCATAAAAAAAGTCGAAATCATAAGTGATTAAGACGTGATAAGCATTGATGTATCGTATTACTTAACATTAAGAAGTCATTTCTTGTTCAATGAACTGTAATTGTGCCAGTCAGTTCCATGAAAATGATTATTTTTATTCCAAAGCTTACACATTCACTCAGTTTGCATAACACTTAGAGAACTGAGTCAGATCTTCTCGGGTAATTATCATTCATTGGGCATTAAGAAACTTATGTTGTACAGTTCCAAAAAATAATTATCAACTCTGTAATAAAATCTTAATCAGTACTTCAAAACTGTCTTTTTTGTGTGTATGTTTAAAGTAATGGAATCTAAAGGTTTCACATAATTAACTGTCACGAAATTTCTATCACTTCTGTGATATTTAAGCATTATATTTTAGTACTAATGAACATGGTAGAATGCACAATTATTATTGTGGTATTAGTAGTTAAGGGTGCTCGTAAGACACTGCACACTCATTGGCTGCCTCAGGGGGAAGGGAGGGGTAGAGCCGATAATATCATAGTTCTAGGAAGTGGTACCAGAGGGCGCTTTGCTAGGGGCACGTTGCTAGGCCGCCATGATACTTGACAAGAGAAAACTGTCATACTACTATGACATTTGGCAATTGAAATTATCTGCTACCGGAGAGCACACTGCTAGAAGTGTCACGTGATATCATAGTTCGATTGTTACTCAACAGAGAGCGTGTTGCTAAGAGCCATAGTTCCACGAAGTGGTACCAGAGGGCGTATTGGCATAATGAGCACGTAGATAGTTCGCGAGCAAACCACTAGAGGGTGATGTAGATCAACATGACATCAACTTTATTGTAACAATCAAAGTTTTAAAATTATTTTTTTGTCTAAGTTACATAATGTTGTGTTTATTACAATTATCAGTAATGAAAAGTGTTTTATCACAATTACAGTTTTGCTTTGTAAGTAAAACATTAAATACACTTTATAAAGGCAGATGGTGTTTCTACAGATGGATAGTGTTACTAAGGGTAGTGTATGTATAGGCAGATAGTTCAATAGGATGATGAGCTCATTGTAGGGTGTCTCAACATGTCATTATATCACCAACATTGCAGTCTCGATTTAATTATATTTCCTAAAAAGTTAGAAGTAAAACCAACGTTTTAACGAGTCAACTATTATGAAGCCAGCTGAGGTACCCATCCTTTGCCTGGGTTATGAACTTATGGGTGGATGCTATGATAAATAACATAAAAATGCTAACTGAATAAATTAAGTTGTTTAAACATTTGTTTAACAACAAGTAAAACAATACGAAGAATTCAATTGTGGCGAAATGATACAAGTTCTTCAAATAACTATAGAATGGTAGGTTTCTTTTTGTGAGACACTTAAATACACCAGTTCGACAAAAATGCTAACTTTCACACAATTTTTTAGAACATAACAAATTATTACAGTATTCATCACTACCTCACCTAAAGTTTTGTAGAAGATTTAAGAACTCAATATATATATATACTTAAAACATGTACACTGTGTAATGATCAAGGTAACTTTGTAAGAAGAGGAAGCAGCCAAAGTTGGTAGGGGTGCTTTCTGTTACCCACTTTCAATACTCAGCTCTTAATGTCCTTCCACACTATTTCACGTTATTAATTAATCGATTGTCATTGGCACAGAAGTGTCTTATGAGCCGAAATTTTAAAGTTATGGGTCAAAGTAGGAAGTGGGTATAACTAAAAAAAAGGCTCTTCATACCAGCTTTATGGTGGCTGTTGAAGTAGAAATTTCATCTGAGTTTATGTATTATTACAATATTGGCGGCCATTGTTTTTCCTTGCATTCCTCCATAGAGAGTGCTAGAATACTGTCTGAGATAACTAAGATGTTTGTGTGCCCTTCCCCACACTGTGAATATGGTGTGTTATAGAAAATTTAATTTTTTGTTGCAAGGACGTGGTGTCATCTATAAATGTAGATAACGTTAATTTACGTCAAAGATAATAAATGCTCAATTACAGCAATGATTGGGGGCAAAGGGGTTTTTGAATCTTCCATTAACATGCTCCTTATTCCAAACTATCATTTCACAAAGTTTGGTTAGGATTGGTCCAGCGACCCAGGAGTAGTTAGATAATGGACAAACAGACAGACACATAGATGTTTGTGCTTTATATAAAGAGAGAGATAGATTATTACGTATTTAAATTTTTATTGCACATACTATCTTAATTTATCAATTATTTGAACGAGACAAATATTATACTCAATAATTTACTTTACATACTTTTACACTTATCTCTTCTGAAAGGATTTTATCATTTATAATGTATATTTTTTATAAATACTGAATGAGAGAGTAAGCTGATTGTGTTTATAAGTATCGATTTAGTATGCATTTATCATACTTTTGCCTCTATATTTAATTTATAAGACATACTTTTTGCATTTCCTGACATTTTATATGTAAAACACTCAGTGCTAATTCATTTCTATATAACATCTATTCGTCCTGAAAAGGATGCTTATTTAAATTTCTAAATAATATACAATAATTTCATGTTTAGCTTTATAAATTGATTTGTTTTGCAAAAATTTATAGGATCTACGTAAATAGTTATGTTTAATCATTACTAATTTTACCTTTCTGTACATATTTTCACAAATGTTTGTCTAGAGCTTGAGTCTTGTTGACTGAAACTTTATATATATAGGTTTTATAAGTAATATTCTTACCATTTCGAAAAATAAATGTGTACTATAGATAGGTCAGTCATTCAACCTATTACTGACACATCCCAGGTGATAGCAAGTTAAGAAAGTTTGACTCATGTGTTCACTTAAGAATAATACAAATGATGCTTTCATTTCTATAAGACTGACAAATGAAACAGAAATTATATTTCCGTATCTTTCAAAACTTCCCTTTTTCACAAATGAATATAGTTTATAACTGAAAAAAAAAGTTGAAAATCAAAATATTCAAAGGACCTTTAATTATAAATCAGTTGATTATTTTTCAAATTTTATAAATCCAACACATTTACTGTTTATCCTTACAAAATATATTTTACAACAACAATGTAAAACCACAGACTCTACAAGCACATTGAAACATTTACTAACAAAATTTCAAGATTACTATTATACAATAAAATTCTTAGCTTATAAAATACTGAATTAGCTTCCATTCAAATTGTTCTACATTATGTCCAAATTACTATTTCAGTTAGAGTTTATATATTTCATTTGTGTAATATTATGTGAAAACAAACACTGAATTTATCACGAGGCATCGTACTACATACATAAAATAAAAAAATATGACACATTGCAAACTAAACATGTATGATTTCAATTTGTAGGCTCAGAAAACTAGTTTGTCGACTATTTCAAAACAGGTATTTTCCTCAATTAGATTTTGAAAAAAGGTTTTTGTAATATGTGATGCATTATCTTTCACTTCATTTACACTTTATAAAAATAATCAAATGTATATTAATTGTCAGTTACTAATCAGTGTTCTGTGATTTTGTTAGATAAAACTCTCGTTTCACCATAGCCCAATATGTTTTAAGCAAATATTAATATATGTAAGTATAATAACAGATTCAAGATACACTAATATATTAGTTATGAATAAGTTTATAAAATACTGGATTAGGTTTCATACAACTTTTGTACATTATGTCCATATTACTACTTGTTCATATTAGTTTAGTATGTAAGATTCTCAATATAGTTTATAAACGAAAAAGTTAATGTACAATTCTTTTATTTCACTGAGTTTATCATACCTTACAGCAAAAACATTTGGTGCTCACTGTACAATAATATTAAATTGTGCCTGGCATACAGCAATTAGTAAAGTTCAGACAGAGTCAGTCAGAAAATATAATTTATACTCATCTTTCGCTGATATCCACTAACAACTTAATTCTACTCCATTCAGACTAAAGGTCAAATGTCAGATAATTAGTGTCTAGCTTAGTCTTTTATGATACATTACACACCATGAATATCAGTTTCTGACAAGTATATTTGAACAACTAATGCAAGTCTCCATTTATATTTCTTATATAAAAGGCATGTTTCATCATAGCTCAATATACCATCATTAATATATATAAGTAAAATCACATCCTTAACAAACATACTGAAATATTTGTTTAAAAACTTAAATATATACTAATATACTATTTACAAAAACAATTTAGTTTATTAAATACTGACCTACAGCTCAATGTAATAATACCTACAGTACATACTTGTTCTAGTATGTTATTAGTCAAATAGAATAAATCACCGTAAATGAAACATAAGGGGCATTCCCAAAAGTGATTTGAGCTAATATGATCAAAGTTTCTTTATTTTAGAAAATCTACAAAACATATCATGTACTTTAAATCCATAACTGAACTGACTGTTCCCCATGATGCTGAACATTAGATCTTGACCTTCACATTACCCCTCCCCTATCGCTTAAAAATGACATGTTTCACCATAGCCTAATATGCTATCATCAATACATATGAAAGTAAAATCACAGACTTGTCAAGTATAACACATACTAAAACATATATCAACAAAATTTCAAGTTGGAAAAAAGGTTTTGTCACAAATAACGTGCATACATTCTACTTTTGAAGCTTTTAAGAACAAAATCTGTAAAATTGTCTGACAGAATATTTCAAGTTTGTTGTTTCTTACAATAAAATATATAGTTTACAAGAAATAATGACTCTTTCACATTTTAAAAATACATCATGTTTACTGTTTATCATTACAGAATATACTTTACATTCAAAATAAATTTAGTACAAAAAATTATTTATCTATTCTTCCATCTTACATAATGATACAGAAAGCTAAATGTACATTCATGATATTTTCAAGATTTGAGAGTAAATATTTGTAGTTTAAAACTACTATTGTTTACAAATATAACTTACCAGGATCTATATATATACACACATAGTCTACTTCTTCAGGGTATAACTGTTTAGACATGTAAAGAAATATCAATTTCATCCATTTTACAGTTTGTGCTGTGTTCTTCAAAATTATCTGAGGGGCATCTTCCACTGAAAGCTCGATACTCTTTGATATTTAGGAATAAACTGAAACATGTTTGAATTATAAAATAGTGTATTACCGTGATTGAATTAATTTTCATACAAGTCTAGAATATTTTAACTAGAGTACAATTCTTGAATACTTTCTACACAACTAGACCATTGTTCATTAGTCATATAACAGTCAATGGCCTCAACTTGAGAATCAACCTGTTCTATTGTCATGCAATATTTGAACATAAGGATATATAACACAAAACATTGACTGTAATTGTAAAAATTTGATTCTTCTCACATAGATATTGAGAAGCTGTCAGAGAATGTGTTAAGTACTCTGATGTTACATCACTCTATCATCGAAACACTAAAACTACTGTGAATACAATGGTGGACGTTTTCAATATGGTGATATACTCACGACAAAAGGTATGGTCTACAAGAAAAGACATATCTATTATTTTACATGAAATCACTTTATAAAGAGCATTCACATAAAACCCATGTCAGACATTCATCAATGTGACTAGATTTATTGTTCAAAGACCATGCTTATTATAATTAAGTTAGTATTATTCCTACTGTATAACAGAATAATTTTTGTTCTTATATCTGAAACGTCAACAAAGTTGTTATAAGATTTATGAAAATTAGTAGAGTTTATTGCAGTAACAGAAATAAGTTTGTTTGTTTTGTTTGTTTTTGAATTTCGCGCAAAGCTACACAAGAGCTATCTGCGCTAGCCGTCCCTAATTTAGCAGTCTAAGACTAGAGGGAAGGCCGCTAGTCCTCACCACCCACCGACAACTCTTGGGCTGCTCTTTT